CCCCTGCGTGTGTGTGCAGTCACCAGCGATGATGCGACGGACGCAGGAGTCTTCTCCCTTCTCCAGCTGTGACACCAGTGACACGGAGTCCTGCTCCCTGCCAGTCAACAGCGCTTCACTGCTCCGCCGGCAGCAGGGCAGCCAGAAGCCCTCACCGGTCCGGGGACACGTCCTCAGGAAGGCTAAGGTCAGAGCTCACACTGCAACCTGGGGCTAGTGCTAGTCTTAACCACAGACGCTGTAGCTATAGTACAGTACACAACAAAAAGTATGTGGACACTCCTCTCACTCTTATGCTTTTTAACAGTTTAGGTTTAGTCCTTTATAACAGCGGTCCCCAACCACCGGGCTGTGGACCAGTACTGGGCCGCACAGAAACAATAAAAGTTTTACTGGTTTATTTTATTTCTCGCGGAGTCTGCATGGTGTTTTATTTTTGAAAAAATGACTAGCTAGTCCTTCCGTCAATTCCGCCTGTGCTTGTTTCTCGCACTTGATTCTGTCGGTTTTCGTGCCGTTAAACAGAGCCGTCAGTCTAACAGCTGTCGAAATGAATAAAAAACAAACTTGTCTGGAGAGCGTCTTTGAAAAGAGAGAGAGACTCGATGCTGAGACAGAAGAAAAAGTAAATACATGTTTAGCAATAAAAGTAATTTTATTTATTTATGACACTTTTTTTAAATTAAAAAAAAACGATGATTATTTGTTATGTGGGCAACGACCAGTCTGTAGAAAATTGTCTTGCTTGAAACCGGTCCACGGTGCAAAAAAGGCTTCGGACCTCTGTCTATAATATCCACAAGCCTATGGTCGGCTCCATAAAATATTGGTTTACCCCAATGCTAACTTCTGAATGAACAGGGATGCCAACTGTGAGCGCTGTTTTGCAAATATTCTGGTATTGCGTTGTGGTCAAAGTTACTCTGAGCTAAAATAGATCAAAGTTAAACCAGGAGGTTTCTCTAAAGTAGTAACGTCATCCTTCTGTCTGAGCTTGCTGTAATTAAGTAGCTGTAGTTTTTTGTAAGTGTCCCTGGATTTGAAATGTGACTTCCACTGAGGATGTCAATCATTAAAATCAGAGAGCCTTGTCTCTGTCAGGCAGTCCCTGTTTTATCTCTGTTGTTTGAAATAAGAGTTTAAAATGTAAGTGATGTTGCTGTCCACATACTTTTTGTATTTGTATTTCTGCTACAGTGTGCTCGCACCTGTATGATATCTGTAGGACTGGAAACTGATTTGAGTTAGGTTCCAAACAGCTAGCTTATGACGAGCAAATCAGCAGAGTTTCCAAGCGGCAGCTGTGTGTCAGGGTCCAGAGTGGAGGAGAGAAGGAGCAGGGTGTCACCAGATTAGAGGTCAGACAGAGCTTTTTGTCTGCTGTTGTTTTACATTATTTAATAAAGATAAGTTAGTGTTGATGGTTCCAATTGCGAGCTCCTCTTTAAATAATGAGTTCAGGCACATTTACAATGCAGAAAGCTGCGCCGCACCAGCACAAGTTTATTTCGATTTTTGTTTTTCTATTTTGCGTGATTGAGGATTACAAATTGGCACGTCTGATAAAAGGTGACAGAAGGTCAGCAAATGCAAAATATGTTGTACAATGCAAACTGAGTAAATCCCTGTATTTGTTTTGCAGGAATGGGAGCAGAAGAGTGGCACATAAACTGCGCGAGGCCTCGCACCAGTCTTCCTTTGATTTCTTTTTTCTGTTGAAGAAATTGTGTATATATTTATTTAAAACTGTTCCAACAGTCAGAGAGCATGCTGAGGAGGACACAAGCATAGCATTCATAAACCAAAACAAGTGGCTGGTTTTAGTATACTCCTAATACCACAACATACATAGCAACCTTTTTAAACGTTTATACTATTGAGCATGCTTAGTGTACTAAGTTGTGCAAAGTGTGTTGTCCGCTGTAATTTCTTTACAAACAACTTAACAGTCTTTTTTTTTTTCCCTCCCGAAGTCTGTTGCAGCAGTTTGAGTTTTTAAAAAAAGGTCAAAGGTCAAAACCAAGTATTTATTTGTAAATGTTTAAAGGAAATACTAGCTTCCCTTTGTTTATTTATGTTGATATATTTAAAAGTATTTTTGTAGAATTTGTGGCTCTCCACACAGTCCTGTTTCCTACAACATTATTGATCATCATCATTAATGGAAGTAAATCGTTCATGCTCACAATAATCGTAACACATGCCAGCTGAGCAGCTCCTCTTACGGACATTTAAAGAAGCATAATTATTCTTCCTCTGCGATTGTGAGATGTGTTAGAAGAAGATGAGTGCAGAGGGTCCATTACCGTTGGGACAACTTAAGGATCTTATCACACAAAGGTGATAAATCAGAATTAAATGCAAAAACGATGAATTTAAGCCACTGGGGAATCTCACTTGTCATGTAGCAACACTTAGGAAAAATGTGTCAGAAAAATGGCAAGAAACACGACTGACATTGATGAAGCTGTGCAGATTGTTGTTGGTAAAAATCCCAGCTAAAACATCGACATATGTATTGATCAGTGGTTAATAAACTGCAAACAACTACGAATATAGCTTCCATGCTGGCAGGATGGATTCAAAGCTGAGAGGTTTCAGCGATAGAAAACAAGTTGCTTTAGCAGAAAATAGATAATACGAACACAGTGTCTGATTAATGAAATCCTGTAGCCACAGATTTGGAAGTAGGTAACTGCAGAGACAGTGATAAAGCAAAATATTTGAAGTTAGTAAATGATATCCATCGTCATTCTCATTTTTAGCTGTCACTCAGTGTAGCTTCGACCACATCTTGCTAATAGAGTAATTGTGCTGCTTGACACAGTCCCGTAGTGTGCTGATGGATGGCTGTCATCAGGCTGCAGTGGGACTGCAGCAGGGTGTGTGTTACCGCTCGGAAAGTCGGGCAGGTCAGGCTCGGGCGTGGCCGCCCTTAGATTTGGCGCTCAGAGTTGGGAAAACTCGGAAACCCCAGCCAACGTGGCTGATGTTAGTCCCTCATCCAAGAGCCTCAGTCCAGCTCCTCTAATCACGCCACTGGTCTACTGTAGCCCTGTGATCTGTCAGTGTGTATGTGTGTGTTAGTGTGTGTATGTGTGTGCGTGCGTGCTCAAATGTCTCCAAGGCACATTCCAAACCCTTCAACAATACACTGACTGAAATAGAGGCACTTGCTGTAAACTCAAATTGCTGTGGGTTCTGCTAAATCAAAGACTGTGACTTCGATTTTCAAATTGCTACACACACACACACACACACACACACACACACACTCATCAATATCACATTTTTATGGTGCTTTTTTTTGATAATGGCTTTACGTTCCACTGCCTAAGCTTTGCTGCCATGTAGATACTGTTTAAGTCTAGAAGGTGCTTTATTGGAATTGTTGACAGATGTACTGTTAAAATGCACACAGTTTGGAAATCAGTGCTACATGCGGCACATGTGCTCCACGGTCATGTAAATATTTTCTATCTCCTGCCTGCTTTCAGATTAATATCCCACAAGCCTGCGAGCTACAGTGTAGTCGGCATGTTAGCATGAAGCCTGGGCCGCCGGGGAGTTTTATCTACAAGTATTTAGTTCTAACAGAGCGGGATGTCTGACGTCGGTAAATGTGAACCTGCTGTACATAGCTTGGCATCGCGGGAAGAGGTCGGGCGGGGGGAGGGGTGGTTTGGGGGGTCGACAGCTCCATCATGCATCAGTGTTTGTTTTTGCACCTTATACGTTTTCTACTCTGTTGTATATCTCAGACAGTCTCCGCCTCGGAGACAAAACATGCTTGTACATAAATGAATAAACCTCCTGACAAACAGTTCACTGGAGACTCTGTGTGTTATTCCCGCAGTTACCAGCAATAACAATAAAAGCCGGACTTCACATTGAAAATAACTGGCTTCAAGGCACACGTGGTCTTCAGACAATCCCCCTCTGATGAGCACATGTGATTTATTAGCTACTCTAACAGAATCATTTAAAATCAACCTGTAAAAGTGAAAACCCAAACCAGTTCTATGGATGTCCTCATCTGTCTGTGAGCAATGTCTCTGATTACATTCATTTGCATGAACACGTTTAAGATTTCACATTTGTAATGTAACAAACTCAATACTTTTCACTATGATGAATATGGCTTCACTTGATGGAAATTCTTAGTGTAGGGAAAGTCATGGATTGGCTTATTTAGAGACTGGTGCAGTGGACATGATGCATCAGTGGTGATAGTGTGGTCATCAGGGCTGTATGTGGCGATTTAGTGGAGATTAATATTCTTGTGGCATAATTAGAATATGATAATCTAATAAGGTAAAACTAAATTGTGATTTATTGTGCACACTGTACAACAGGCAAATGTAATCAAGTATTTAAAGGTAGATTTTTTTACCTTTAAATACTAGTTACCAATAAAAATGCAAAACAAAAACAAAAAAGAGATTATTTTCAGACGGGTTTGTTTGTGTGTCATTTACAACCTGTTTTTTGTTTTTCCTTTTTTTTTGGCTGGTGACAGCTATTTCAGATTTATGGAGTGACAGAATGAGATACCTTAATTCCCCTGTAAAAAAACAAACAAACAAACAAAAAAAAAAACCCTTTGACATAATGAAGCAAACATTTTGGCTTTGGACAATTTTTATATTTCTGTTCTGGAAATTCATGTAAATTTGTGCATTTTTTAAAACAAATTCTTATCTAATTTGTACATTTAAACATACAGTAAAATAACAACTTAGAATTAAAATAGTTATTATCTAATGTAAGCGATGAATGAAAAACAGCAGACCGTGCTGGAGAAAATCATGATGCTGCCACCACCATGCTTCACAGGGATGCCTATGTGATGATGTGCAGTGTTCTCCAAGCAAAGTATGTAGTCCAATGGCCAAAAAGCTAAATCTTGGATTCAGTCCAAATAACCTTTTTCCACTTGACTTTAGAGACTCCCACATGCTTTCTGGCAAACTCTTGTCTGGATTTATTATGAGCTTCTTTTCAACAGTGAAGTTTTCTTTGTGACGCTCCCATAAAGCTCCGACTGGTGAGTAACCCGAGGAAGCATTTGTTGTGTGAACAGTCTCGTAACATTTGCAGAACTCCTTCAGAGCAGTCATAGGTGTCTTGGTGGCCTCTTCCAATAGTGTCTTTGTTGTCTTTCAGCCACTTTGATAAAGTTTTGAATAAGTATGGCTCAAGGAGAGTCATATGCGGAGTTGCATCTCTGCACAGCTCAGGAAAATGGAAATTTTTATACTGCGATAAAACGTTTCCATTTGTCTGCTACAGCATACCTGGTGAGTGCTGACCTT